CACAAACAAGTCCCGATAAGTACGCGGAGTACGGCCGACAAACAACATCTACGATTTCAGAGGCGGAGGTTCGCTCTCGTCTCGAGGATGTCCGCTCCTATTTGTACGCGAACGGAAGAGACGGCGAGTACAGCGAAACGGTGTACCTTCTTTCGAAGACTGTGCATTCGTTCACTCATGAAACTCAAGTCAAGCGAAGAACGAAGGAGGGGGGTGAGGTGGAGGCGACTTTTCGGGATGTGTGGGCGACGTAGTTGTGGGTGTTTGAGGACAACACACTTGGCAGCCCACATTCATTGTTAAGGATTTTTTTGCCTCTCTCGTGGAGTTAAATTTTGGCATTTTTTGTTTTGTGTTTCTGCCTCGTGTTGACCTTTGGGGAAGAGCGGTGTTCTCTTTTCGGTGGGTTTGCCCGATGTTGTGATCTGCGCTACCGACCGTTTCCTAGTGTCCCTCAGATCCCTCTAAGGGGTCGACTGGGTTTGTTTGGTCCCTATGTGGCAGGTAATTTGCGTGTATCGTATCAGAGCTAGTTCCAACAAACTGATGTGTCTCAGGTGTGTTCGCGATATCACGGGCATGATGTTCACCGTGAGGACAACGCCTTGACAATAAGAAAAGCCTACAACAACACCAGCGCACACTGCCGTACACATTACAATAGGTCGTGCTGTACTCCTTCCCGCGTTTCGGTGGTGAAGGGAAATTCAAAAATGTGTACAGCAGTATTGGAGTACAGCAGCAGTAGTGTTGCGGCCTTCAATTGACGTGTTGTCGCAGTTTTTAAGCAGCACGATTTCGTGGTCGCATTCCTGCTTCAAAATGCGCGTATTTTGACACATGTTACACCTCCATTGACCCCGGGGACGGTGAGTTAGTGGCCCCGGAATCCTAAAGACACTTCCCCGCGTTGAAGACACTCAAAAAAAAAAAAACGCGGGGCGGGGTCGGCTGTAGGCGAGTGATATGAAGCGAAATACAGATTGGACTGAATATGAAACTGATGTCTGAAAGGTTGGAATTCGGCCTGTACAAGGCGAGGAAATGCAGGGCTATACTTGTCGTGTCTGCTGCTGCGCGCGGAAGGGGGTGATTTTTGGAGAGGGGGCATGTCTCGCGATGTGCACTATCAAGGGAAGCTCAAGATATCGTGAAACATGCGCCGTAGGTCGACATCACTCTGTTGATTTCTGCCAAGCTGACCATGAGATTCGAATCTTCCAAAAAGAGGGATGAGGGCAACAAGACGGCGAACCAGTGAATACGAGAGAAAACAGCGCACATGGTCGCACAAGTACGCGACTGCACGCGGAAGTCGACCAAACGTGGCGACTGGCCATGATTTGATAATGCCCTGTCGAGGCATACTCGAGATGTCGCGAGCCGCGCGCCGTAGGCTAAAATCGGCTTTGGAGACACGGTCGGGCAATGGCGGGGGAATCGGAATAAGAGGCTGGCGAAAATGGATTTGGGTCTGAGAGCCTGCATATTTCATTCAGCATTGGGTCCGTGCGGATGGGAGTCTTCACTGTGAGGTGCCGCTATCGAGAGATGGAAGCATCGCTCACGACACGAGCTTATCTTTTGTCAGATAAATGGGTTCGAAAGCACCGCGTCCTTCCGAGGACATGAAAGGGGCTATTGATGAAGGTCACCTCACGAGCAGTTAGAGCATAAGTTTGGCACCCGTATGTGCAGACCACAGGATCGTAAGTATGATCGGGACAGGTCGACCACTGCCTGAGGTAGACGCATGTCCATGTTTTCTGAAAACGAGGCAAGGCACACACACGTTGGTGGCATTCTTTTGGTTCGTGCGCCTGATTCCACCATCGCCACCGTAACCATGGCGTTTATGACGAAACACAAAGCTGTGCAAACGAGTGAGAAGCAGCTCCCTTGGTTTTCTGTAGCAGGAGGAAGGCCGTCTCCCCTCTCTCCATTCAGTGTGCGCGACGAGAAACACAACAGGGGAGCGCTACTACTGATCACGTGCAGCGGTGCTGTAAACTGTGAACGCAGGCTTTCAACCGTCGGTAACTGTTACCCTACTTTCGCACTACTCCGGAAGAAAGCCGAAAACGCTGATCAAAGCCAAAAACGCCATAGAAAGACAACATCGAGTACGCTTCGAACACCGTTTTTGTTCGGAGATAACATCGTCCGAGGCACAAACTGGATGGTTCTCCTTCGATCATGGACGTGTTTTTCAGCAGAGTGGCTTATCCTTCAGTTATGTACGGCGCAGTGAAGGCTTGCTCTCCCCCCCAAACATACGCTTCTTTTAGCATCGGCGTGCCTGCGAATCAAGACTCTCCAGGGAATATTCTTATTTTTGATTCCACGGGATTTTCTCATTGTTGATTCCAAGAGGACCCTACTTCTGTCCACGTGTTGTCCTCAACTTTCGCTTTTATTTGGGAAAGATTCGTTCGGTCCAAGCCAGGCAAGCGCAAGGTACCCACAACCACGAGCCGGGGGGGACAAAACGGCGTATGCATTGAGGGGCCAAACGAGTTGGTCGCCCCTATCAAGCGTCTACGATGGCGAACTGCTCAGCACGTATGGATAATTGACAACAAACAGCACATGCTTCCCTCTTTCAGCATAGAGAGTCGGATTCATTTTCACTCCGACCGCTTGTTGCTTTCCTATTAACAAAGGGTGGCGGCGTATCTTGCCTCGCCCCTGTCCCGAAATATCAACACGGAAACACAGAACACAAGGATATTCACAGACGTCATCAACCCCAGGGTTGCTTCAACGACACAAAGCACATGGTTGTGATCTTTGCTCCAGTGCAGCAGAGCCTACTTTGCCGTGCGTCGCTGGTTGGTGATGTCGTCCGTCTTCCGTCCACACATTCCGCAAATTCCTTCAAACACAACAAACACAACGGAAAAATCGGAAAATGCCAAGTGGTTACCGTCAGGATGCTAGGGAGCGCACGGTTCGATGATATCGCACGTACCGGTGTTCCCGTGTGCGAAAGAAGCCCAAGATCGAGATAGAATAATTCGATTCTAGCACCGGGATCGGTGACATCGTACCCGATACGGAGTGCCCCGAGTGGTTCGGGGACTCTCACTGCGCCGAAGAAACCTCGACGTTTCATCGTCAACGTTGTTGCAGCACATCGGCGGAATTGCGTACCACGTCTTGAAACGCTGTGTGTTCTGCGGTACGGTCGTGGCACGTTGTGTATCGCAGGTATCGGTGTTTTCGCACGGGGGTGTGCGTCGACAGTGCCCAGTATTAATGATGTAGGGTTGATAAACTGTTCACTTATTATCTATCGCAGTATCGTGGTTATCGCATCCCTCGTGCAATAGTCGAAAAAAAGGATTTCGACCCTGAACGTCTACGGCATGGCGATCGGTGATACCGTGCGATGAAACGTCAACAACGAAGTCAATTTGAAAATCGATCGCACCCCTGTGCGCTCTCTACCATCCAGGTACTTGGCAGGGCTTGCGTTCATGGATTTATGCTTCATAACAAAGGCGACAGCACAGTCTAGAGATGTGGCGAAACACACCCCACACCAACCCAGGCGTACCTTTCGAGAAGGCGCATTCTTGGCAATAGTGGTGGTCTTGATTCACTTTGGTCTTGCAAATCCGGCAGACGCGAGTCAGCGGCGTGAACCTGGAAAGACAAGCGCATGCCGCGCGAATAGGGAGCGCCACACATGAACAATGTAGATGTCACAGCGTGGCTTCAACTCAACGCCGTCGTCACGCGACCCATTGACGGCTACCTTCACTTGGGGCACCAATCCTTCCATGAATATCGTAACGGCGAGCATGTAGAATGCGTTAAGTTTTACGGTACGGTATTCGGTACATCGAATGCACTTATCCAATAAAAACACAGCACACACCCCGTATCTCCAACCAACTGAACAAAAAAGGAACCCATATATCCCCATATCGTGTGCCACTTGACGAAGACAACGACAGACGGCAGCCCCAGCCAAAAATCGAGGCTTGCGACCAACAAAGAGGCTGAACGACAACCAGATACCGTTCCGTACAACCCCGACGTCATTACGTCTTTCGTCTTTGGCCACGCACACCCGGGGTCCTGTACCGCACAGCTGCCCTACATGGGAAGCGCCTGTGTTTTCCTCAGTATCGCACCTACCGATGTCATCGCACCGGGTGCCTGCACTGAGCACCGTAGGGCTACTGTAAATTACTCCTCATCGCACTCATCGTTGTCATGACACCGGGAGTGCGTTGAAAAAGTCTAGAACGAAACGTTTTATTGCGTTTCCGCAACGGAATCGGTGTTAAAGCACCCATCGGAGCTATTGGATCGGGCGACAAAAAAGCCAAGAAAGGGATGACAAAGAAACCGATAGAACCCCGGGTGCCGTGACAAGCACGTTTACGTTGGTCCTCTGACGCACCTACACATGGAAAAGAACGGCACCTGTTGTTGCGGCGTTTCGCTGCTCCGTGTTTCAGCAACATGTTCTCATGACCCACCCGTCGGCCTCCGCTTTCACCGCCGGTAGTGTTGCGGGCACCGTCTTTCCACTGCCAGTAGTAACACGAACACGAAAGCGGGACGTGGTCATGGATTACCGTTGGAATCAATCGGGGGACGTGGACCGGGATGCTGCCCGGCGTTCGGCATTTCCAAAGTAAATAAAGCATAGTTCATCGTGTAAAACTTGGAGACAGCAAAAACGAAGGGGTACCCGGGTACATCTCTCGATCACGTGGTAATGAGAGTGGAGAGGTGGAGAGAGGCTACCGAATAAAATACGAGTTGCCCCACCGGTTCAACCATTTGGTAGCACTGTAAGCTAACCCCACATACCGTAGGTTGCGTTTCTACCAATAACACCTTCTCGACTACGCCTCCCGCAGTTCGCTGATCAACAACAGGACGATCGCTTAGATGCGTTTTGAGGCCTCCTGCAAGATCAACCATTGCATGGCCTCACGGGAGTGTGCTTACCCGCTTGCCACATGGGCGCAGCGACAGGAAGCACGTTACATATGCCTCCAATCACCATACAATGGACATGGTCCTGCACCACCGGTCCCATCGGTAAGGCGAAGTGGCAACTACTCCATCTATATAGCTCGACCGAAATATAGCAGCAAGCTTACAAGACTTTGGTTACTCTCGTGAGAATGCCACATGCACCTGGGAAAAGTTCAGGTCACACCAACTTACCGATGGCTTATTGCAACACAAACCCGGGGATTCCAAAGAGTTTCGGTCTTACACGCGCAAGCTGGCAGATAAATCATTTTGTGTGACCCTGGATCGGAGCTCCTGAGGTAGAGACAAGCATGATGGGTAAAGCATGTAGTAAGCTCTTCCGTGGACAAACACAACCACCGGCTGGTCTCAACAAACAATTCAGAGAGAAAACGCTTTTTTGGCAAGGCTACAGTACCACATGCATTAAGAGCCAAAGTTGGGAACATTTTTTTTGTCAAAAAATATGAAACTGATGGGAGTACGTATGCTTTTCATGGCTGCTACGATCACTGCTTTCAGTACAATATCTGTAGGAGCCAACTCGGAGGTCATGGCTGCCATGTACGGTACTATTTCAACACTGCACTGCTATACAGTAGCGGCTACGGTTTAAGAGAGGGTTGGTACAAGCCAATTTGGCTCTCCTAAATAGGTATTTCTGTTTAACCGTTTTGGCTACGCTTTAAAGAGAGTATTCCTTTAAACCATATCTCACTTTAAGAGAATATTACCATATACCGTAGCCAACTCGAAAGGTCGTGGAACACTGATACCCTGACGCCCACTCCAGCAGTATGTGCCGTCAGAGCTCATGGAGAGCCCATCATTTACGTATGTCACATGACCCAGCTAGCGTCAGCACCTTAGGCTAGCTCCACACACAGCTTTGTCTGTTGGTCGGCGAGCGATATGGACCCAAGTCACGGTACGCTCTTGGAACCTGAGCTCGGAGATTGGACTATCATCTCGTGTGGCACACTCAGTGCGCGTGGAAAAACAAAATATAAGTATTTGTTGCTTGTTGTGTTGTGCTGCACACTGTACTCGCATCTCAACTCGAAGTACAACGAGAGCCCATGGATGCACCAGCATCCAAGGAAAAATCTACCGACTCACGTACTGAACGAACAACTCGTACCCCACCCACAGCCTTCGCGCCGAAAACGAGCCATGGAACGAAACACGCTTTACATCACGTACATCACGTGTGTGTTGTGTGTGTTTTCGTCCTATTTATTATGGCGACGATCCCCCCATTTTTCGTGGTGAGACGTGTACTACACTTTTCAGCGTATGTTGAGTACTACACTTTTCAGTGTCTTTTTCGTACAACTACAACCATCCACAGGGCAGTAGTACTGTATGAAAATATCGCACGCGCTAAAAAACAATTTTGGCACAGAAAATCAAAGCACCCCTCGAAGCCTGTCAGCCTCAGCACTACGTCTGCTGCAACCGTTAAAAGTGGTCTTGGACACACGTCTGCTTGGTTGCCCCCGCCCCGTGGGCACTAATCCAAGCTAGCTTAGCCTTGCGGAGGTGGTGAGACGCTTCTGGCATGTCGCACTTCTCGGCAATGTCCTTGAGTTCACAAAAGCGTTGTGCTACGGTAGCGTACGGCGGCGGAGGCGAGGCCGCTGCCGCTACCGACTGCTGTTTCGCGCCACCACTTGCGCCCGCGGAGCCCTTGCCTTCGGCCCCCGAAGAGCCGCTCTTCTCTGGCTGCGCCTCAGCAGTCCCCGCGCCTGAAGTCTCGCTTTCGCGGGAGGCCGCACAGGTGTGGCAGATGCGGTGCACCTCAGTGATGCCGAGCGGGTTCACCACACCACAGATACCATAGAGGTACTGCCCGCAGACGCCTCTGCATTTGTGTAATGTGAAATGAGGCGGGCCTGGCGTGTCGTCGGACATAGTGTAGCGGTCGCCCGCTACGCAGGGCATGGTGTCTGCAGCTGTGTCTGTGTGGAGAGCTGTGGGATGTGTGTGATGGCTACGTGCCGTGGCCTCCAGCAGCTCGATTTAAGAGAAAATCTCAGAAATATGCCAAATTTCTCTAAAATCGATTTTGGTCGTGCCAAGTGATTTTCCTCTCTTAAACCCGTACCTTCTCTTAAATTTTCCTCCTAAATCGTAGCCGCTACTCTGTAAGTACATCGGAGGTATCGCACTGCTGTGGTACACATGGAAACAAGAAAATAGACGCTGTGAAGGCTACCATACACTGAAGCAGGTGAAGTAGGACAGGAAAAAAATCAAGAGTGCGCTACGGAGTGCTCTCTGTGCAGCGTCTGGAAGCAACCTCTGAAGCACCGTCAGTTACATGGCATCAATGTACAACCCCCCGCCAACCTACCCTTTCTTCCCCTCGCTGCCCCGGCAAGGTTTTGCGTAGGCATGACCCATAGCGAGGGGGGCTTTCTAGCGAGCAGGGCTAGACTCACCCTCAAGGGACCGATAACTTCTTGCTGCGGCGCACCCGCCGCGAGGCGTGCGTAGTGGTGGAGTTGGGTCGGCACTGGTGCGTCAGGTACAAAGGTGCAGATGCGGCCTCCAGGCCGTCGGTGTAGGCAGCAATGCCCATCTCATCTTTGTGCGCGGAGGCAGACGTCATCAGAAAGGTGGACGGGCACTATGTACACGGCCCTAGGTTTGCTAGAGGGAGCTGTACTGTCTCAGTAACCTGGTTTTGCCATCAAAGGAGGAGGGGACAGGTGGTGACGAGCTGATTGGGCTGGTTGACCCTTCGGCGCGAGAATTTTTAGACCAAGAACCTTAAGTGCAACGAGGGAGAAAGCGAGGAACCGACTGGGATGGACAGCAACGAGAGCGTGTACGAAGCGGAACGGGTCGAGTTTGGTCGTGCTAGGACTGGCCACAGCGGCACCGGAGCAGCGGCACCGGAGCAGCGGAACCGGAGCAGGCGGACGGCCTCGAACCTTGGCGCACGGACAAACATCTCTCGTGTTGTCAATTATTTTCCCGTTTTTTTCCTGAATACAGGTTGGGTGTGTGTGATGACGTCGCTGGTTTTGTAGAGAGACGCAGCAGAGATGGCGCGGATAACCCGGGTGCTATTAATTGTGTACCTGCATCGTGGAAGACCCCTTCAATGTGGAACGATTTCTAGTCAGTGTCGATGTTTACACTGCTGTGCCTAACGCAGATGATCTGGATAGATTCGGGTGATTGTCAATTGCAATGATGGCTTTGGTGGGGTGTTCTTCATTGTATGTCAACGGACTCATTCTGACAGCACTTCAGACAGCAGCTGCATGCCCCGAGCTTGTGTACCATGCACCATGGTGTTACTTTTGTACAGACAGGACTTCAGACAGCAGTACGCTGTAGTCGACAAACATTCATGTTGGTTAAATGCGGGACAAGGAGGGTGATGGCTGCTGCTGTAGTCGATTTGTAGTGCGTGGGCGTGTAGTTCAGTCGTGAGCATGCAAACGTGCTGCAGGGATTGCAGGTGTACCTCCTCGGGCTTGCGTACCCTTTTCTTGCTAATAGCGTGTGTGTTCTTTGGATCTTCTGATGGCTCTAGCATTACTGTGACCACGGACCGAGTCTTTCTAGATTTTGGGAGTTTAGCAACTGAAACGAGTTGAACGTGAAGAAAAACAACAACAACAACAACCTGAACGGGGTCGATCTTCCATGCCGCTGCCAAGCGCCTCATCTAAAAAAACTGAAAAACGGTGTTGAAGGAAACTGGCCTTTCCACGAGGTACGTTGCCGGGAGGCCCTCGACAAGACATTTCGGACACTGTGTAATGGGAAGAAAATACGACAGCACGCCTTCTATGTTGCTCTAAGGGCATCACCAGGGTACCACCATCGCCCCGAGGGAGAGAGAGCCGGCGCCCACTGCTGACACGTACCTTGCGAAACACGGGGTGTGTTCGCGACGTCAAAACGCAAATCATCCAAGCGAAATTGAAACCAAAACGCATGCGCACGATACCCCCAAATGTCCGCAGATGTTTCTGTGTCTTTTCCTCAAGCATTATCCCTCACCGTAGCCGCAACTCCCAGCATTACGATCACGTTACACAAGTATCTCAACACACAGCTTCTGGACAACAGCCGTGTCTCACCTTGTCCGGCACGATGACTTTGGAGAGCTTCGTCTCGCACTTTTCACAAACCATTCCGACGAAATGGTTACCGACTCCTCTCTCTTCTCGACCTCTCACTTGCTTACGTATTCAACCGGAGCTGACGGGGCTGCGCTTCAGTTCATGGATGTGGTCTGGTCCCTTCGGTGCGCGGAGGCACCTACAAGGGAGCGACGCAGGATGTTTACACCCCCCATTGTTTCCGCTCCATGTGCCCCCCCGATCTCGCCATAAGGAAGCTATGGAAGATGACAATATATAGAGCGTAGCTTGGATGATGACTGAAATTCCGCCGC